ACGTTCAACACGACAATCATATACCGGTTTTGCTGTTCATTATTAGAAACACTCAAGCTCTTCGGTTGAGTTCTGATTCATAGAGTGTAGCTGCATTGATGAAGGTTTGTCGCAAGTGATAGAATGAGAGTATTAGCTGTATCTATGATCGTAGGTTTGAATAGATGGCAGCTTTTGCCTGTCTCATTGCTTCTGGAATTAATTAGAAGCAAACGGTATTTCAGATTCTTATGTCACTTAACCATAAACCGCTAATCGTCCTTATGAACCAGGAGCCTACTAGAAGTGCGACACCCTATCAGAATTTGGGACAAGTCATTGACAAAATCAGTAGGCACGAGTTATCAAATTCCGCAACCAGAAATTCAGAAAGATGGTGCGAAATTGACCCGGGATGGAGGAAATATGGGAAAATATTGAAGAACATGAAGCAAATATCCAGCCAAACGGGCTGTCTATTTACTCGCTTTGTTTAATTGAGCAAGCCCGAGAGATGAAAATGAGAAAACAAGGGCGTGGAGATAACTTCAGGGAGGCCAAAAGTGTGAAACGAAACAGAAACGGCAATGTGCAAAGTGGGTTTGTGAACTCATACGATCTAGCGCAGTCACAACAAACCGTAAATGTGTATACGAATAGCAATATGGACGTCTCTGACATTGAGTGTTGGTCTTTGTACAAACGGATTTCGAAAAAGTGACCGGAAATATATGAACTATGGAAAAATTCAAATGTCAGATTTTGCCTGCCAGACGTTGGGGAACTGTTCGAGCTGATGTCTGGTTCAGTAGTACGAGATAGGAGCATAATATTCAACAGTTTCCAGAAACATAGCTCGAAATGAAATGTGTCCCACATACTCAGAACGGAAAAATAAGCTAGTGTGTCAAAACGCATGACATATCTTCGGGTCAAAAGACAAACAAGTTTTCTCTACGTCTGAGATCTGTGGATTGAATAGCGTAGAACCTCATCTCCATCAGCTCAATTAGATTTTTTTATGGTTTTATGGATGTAATGGTTTGCACCGATATCATTCAAGGAAACAAAACGTACTGCAATTTTATAAGCTTATGTTTTCTGAGGAGAGAATGTGCACTACAAGACACTTTTAAGTTTTGGATTAAATCACTGAGATCGTATGCAGATGTGACAACTAAATCTATATAAGCAGCCACCTTTGTGATTGGCGCACTGATGACATAATGATTGTTACTTCTGACAAAAAGTTCCGTTCACTTCGAACCTTTGTGATAATATTTAATCCGATTTGTCTATGTCTAATAAGGCATTGGTAAAAAATAATTTATCGTTATTAACTATTCTGTTTCATGTATGCCTGACTAACACACAAAATCTACCTTAAAGCATGATAAATAGATAATACATCCAGGTTTTAGGGTTTGCACTGTTATCTTCTGAAAGCTGTCTGATTGAAAAATCTCTTCACATGGCTCCTTTACTGCAATGAGGTACTGAGGCACAGCTCCAAAAAATACAAGACATTACATACATTACGAAACATACATGCCCTGAGGTACTGGGCACAGCTCCAAAAAATACAAGACATTACATACATTACGAAACATACATGCCCGTAGATTAGTGAAAGTCAAATACTCAAGAGAAAGCCTTAAAGGTGCAGCCACAATTCCATGCAGGGCCGAAATCAAAACAGAGCCACTTGTCCTCCACATATAAACCATTACCGGGGACTAGGGTTGGCGATCACTTTGTGAAATTCAAAGGTGATATTACTAAAGATGTAGCTCCCCATAACTTTAAGTTATCGCGCAGATACTGCTCTAGTGAGAATTTATAATTAGTCTATAAGAAGTAACGAACGCTCAAAAGTGCTAAGAGTAAGCCAACTAATCTAATTTTCATGAGAACATAGCAGAAAATGTCTGGTTCAAATACTTGTGGTTGAAAAACTATTTTTGCTGCACTCTTTCTAATAAAAAGAGAAAATATAGCCACCAAACCAAAACTACGACGATATAGACAAACAGGAACAGGGAATTTGACGTAAAAAGGAATAGTGCTTCGGGCCATTTCAAGTGCAAACAAACTCATAGAAACAACAAATACGCCGGCACCTAGAATAAACCTTTCTCTGGCTACAATAGGTTCTTATACACGTTGTCTAACACTCTACTAAATTAAATGTCAAAGGAAGGTAAACATACTGCTGCCAAAACTAAAGACACTGATGCCGTCTGGTGGTCGAATATTCGGTAGAGAAAAGTGACCACAAACGAGACCCTCAGAAGAATAGTCTCCTCGTTTGTTGCTTCCTATATTTTGCGGTGCTATGGTTGACGTGACTCTCCCACAACATTTCCTCAATGAGTTAAGCAAGGTGTAATCCGGTAAGTGTTTAAAATGGTTCACTCACGTAGGATTTCTATTCCTGACAACTGTAGATAAACTTATTAAGTTTGCTGTGTAACCCTAGATTTTTTTAGGAAAGTCAACCTATATTTATAGCCCCACAACACCAAAAGCAGCAGGCAGCCCAAGCGAAAACAATCTCTCGAATCACCCATATACTTTGTAACTGGATTAGGCCCGAATACAGAACCATATGCCGCCATAAAGTGATCTCTATCGGTTATCAACAGACACCGACACATGGAAAATTCCACCCTTTTCGTACACATTTGCGCAAACGCACGCGTATTTTAACCGTTTAAAGTGCATGCACTAACGTTACAGGATCTACTCAATCTATCAAATTGTCTTAGTCGTAGTAAGTGAACAATTTTTCTGACTGCCTCTTAATTTGTTACAATCTAAGCAAGACGTTGTCAGGTTTGCACTGCGAAACCCTCCGTTAAAAAACCTATCTTAGACGCAATAGCATATTAATGGTGTGCAAAAACTCACTTCTATTTTTACTATTTGTTTCGGGAAACGTCCGGAATACTAGCGTTGGAAAGATCGTTTTTTGGCGCTGAAATTGTTTCATTCAACACATTTAAAATGGTCCGATTGTTTTTCATTCCTAGTTCTTGAGAGTACTTCTTACACTTAACATCCTTCCCTATACACGTGCCATACTCCTTGCAGTTCCAACAGCTAGCCTTTAAAGACAAAGAATGTTCTGTTTGCATCTGGTGACTTGCGTTAGAAGGCCGTAGAAAGTGCTTTAATCTATTATACTGCAGTTTGTCTCACGTTATTCTTCTGAGCCTTGAAGCTCCGGTGTTAAGTAATCCAAATTTACCAACCAATTTAATGTTCGTAAGATATATGATAACAATGCCATTACTAGTCACTGGTGGTGGCATCACCCGCTTTGTTGCATGCCTACTGGAAATAAGTTTTCCAATTCGTCTTGAGTTTATTAATGTGTTGACCGTTCGGCATTGCTCTTGACGTTAATAGAAGTTTGCCATCGTATGTCTGTCTCCCGTCAGCCATCGCTCTCTTGAGATAACTACGTTTTACTTTCTGTAGGCGACCGGTTTCCAACGTAGCTTGAGTCACCATAACATATTTCTCGGACTTTTGCGCTCCATGAACTTGTGCTTTTGGGGCACAAACCTATTTTTTGTGCACAAAATTTTATGAACTCCGTCACATTTAGTTTAAGTTATCTCAACGCATCTTCAATGATCTGAGGTTGCTTGATCCATGTGAATTTCACGAACCCTCATACTGTAACAATGGGTCTTCTAGCATGCCCGCAATAAATCATTTGGTGTATGTTTAGCCATGCAGTTAGGCCTGGCAGCAACGATTTCATGATTACTTTATCCAGAAGGTTCCCGGTTATATGGATGTGTCGGGCAGCTGTGATGCAGCAGCCGCTACTCGGAGCCTGTATTCCGACACAGAATCCTGACGCACTTTTGACTCTCGTTCATATCCTGACGCACTTTTGACTCCCGTTCCCTTCAGAGTAAGCATTTTGGAGACCATTTCGGTACAATTTCAATCTGTCAGGGTTTGCGTTCATGGACCTTGGACACAAAACCTACAAGATCTTATATGACCAACAGATCGTCATAAAGCTCAAAAAGTCCGGAGATATGCTTTCTTAATGTATCTTTTTCACTTTATAGTAGAGCGCCACTTTTTGATATGCCGGAATCCAGAATTTTTAGAACGTTAGTTATTTTCTGCTATCATTATGCTTCACAATGGTTCTCTAAATACCCGTCACGTGGGCCTCTGCAAATCTGCTTTATACATTAGCTTTACAAATCCATCTGTTTCTTTCCTATATGAGATGCTTTACCCATATTATGACCGCCAGCCGGTTTCTTCGTCACGTTTCCCTAGCCACTCGTTGGGTAGCACTTCAATTTTTTCCAGCATGGCCATTTTTTCTGCGTCATCGAAGTCAAGCCGCTAACTCGGACGTGTGCTATTCTGCTCAAGGATCGCTTTTAATTTCATGGCTATTTCTATTTTCGATTGGATTACCCACTGTTTACCAGTGTAGTGTTGCTTTTCTTTGCATAGATAAGCCTTCTAGTTTGTCTAGCCGTGTCTCTTTCAGAGGTCTTATCTGATAACTGTCACGCGAGTAAGTAGTATTCACGCAATATTTACAGGGGTACAAGTGGAATCCTCCAATTGTACCTGTGCGCCACCGTGATATTCCGAAATGCTGCACGTAAAACGGAACACGCATGCATTCCTAACTCAAGCATGCACCATGCAAACAGAGCGACGGAGTGTCATCAGTATCTATTGGATCCGCCGTTCTGATCCCAATGGAAGTTCTATTGTAAATGATACTCTTTAATAAACGCCTCGAATATCCTCAGAATATGTTCGCCCGGCCGTGGTACTTCATTTTAGCTCAATCAGATTAAAACTTTAACAGCGCCTTGAAGATTGATTTTATTCATTATATGGTGTGACTGCAAAGTCTGTAAAGAGTATATCATACGTGGTCTGGTTGCAGCGCTAGCGCTACGTAATATTACGCGACAAGTGAATTTGAAATTACATTGGAAGAAAGAATCAGATCATTCTATACTTACGGCCTTTTTGTGTATTTCTCTAACCTTATCATCCAATCTGCTCTGGAGGAATTTATTTTGACATGGTTTGACCGTGTAATAACTGTTGTACATTGTCAAAGTTCGTTCTGCGCGGGTTACCGGTGGTATGGCTACGAAGATTTAAATTGACACAATTGTAACTCAAAGGTCAGAGCAATTTCCGTCTGTAGACTGGACGGTGTTCCGCTTCCGTGTGCAGTAGATCTGTAGAACGAAAAATAACAACGCATACAGGTCAGTGGACCGTCACAATCATGTGGCGCAGAAGTGGGGATCACATTGGGTGCGCTGTTTTCAAGGCTGTAACGCATTTGTCTTCAGGGTGGCATGGAATAATATTCACGTGTTTGAGGATGTCACAATTGAGGACAGGGACACGTCATTTGGCAGATAGCTTCAGGCTGATGTAGCCCCCATCTAGCAGCGTTTGTCTTTCAAAGTAAGCATCAACATTTTTTCGGAGGCTATGCGTGATTTCTAAGGTCTTCTAGGGGCTGTTTTCTGACTTGAATGAGGTATGGGTTAAGTCTGTAGAGATTAGACAGTTGGATACTTTGTTTGCGGGATTGCCCTGCCAAACCGTGAGTCTTTTTATTGAGCATTGCACGGGTGGATACTGAGGCCTCCATTTTGGCGATTAAGCTGCTAATATATATAACACTAACTACAGGTGGACTTATGACACTGCAGTTGGCAAATTTGAAGCAGTTTGCTCGTTATCTGCACATGATTCCTTTTACCAGTCTCAATCTCACGAGTGCTTTCGACTTTTTAGCTCAAATTTACTAGCCGGATTGAGTTAACTAAGGGGTAATATTTGCAAATTGCTCTCAGCAACCAAGTATGCAATGAGAATCCACCAAACGGATAGGTGGCAGTTTTCGGAATACCTTTGGGACAGCAACTTTTTCGCTGTTTATTTTCACAAGATTTTTTGACATATCTTCATGGACAACTCTAGCATAAGACAGTCTGCTTCTCTGTTTCATAACGCGAAAACCAAACAGTTGTAATGGGGTTGTTTGAATAGTCACGGTTAAGTTGCTGAAATGTCACCGTTGGATGTTAAGCCACGTTTCTGTACACACTTATCATTTATATCATGCAAGGTTACACAAATCCTTATTCTTATGACGAAGGTCAATGTTTTCATGCCAAACCGTGGATTACGCTGAAATTTTACTCTTCGACTTTACTTCAAATTCAGCCCAGGAGAAACTGACCAAAACACAACGTCCTTAGGCCTATGCTAATTGGGCGCAATACTAACGAGCATTCTTTCTAAGTATATGCAAGAATTTTTATACCCATCATCAAAAGCTTAGAAATATGTGTTGTAAATCGGCGCTCTATTTTCGCGGTTTGTTTAACCTACCAGTCCAAGACTCCTGGGATTAAGCAACCGCTGACTAAGAACCGTCAATCCCCAGCTGGATTTTAGCTCTAAACAGATACATAATGCCACAAAAGGGGAACAATGCGATAAGCCTCACGGCCCAAGATGACACAGCCTCGGCGATGGGATCGGGTTGTGATTAGAATGGGTCCTTAGCCGCAGAACGCTCTTAGCTGCGAGATCTTTAACAGTAGAGTAAACATTTTTACGCCAAAGTTGCATTTTTCACGTGTGCGCTGAGACCAGAAACCCTCCTTATCTAGTTTTCTGTTTTTGGAGTTCACCAGCTTTCATTGTCCACTGAAGAAATTACAACTCTGGACGAAAAAGTCTGGTGAATTGTTTCCCAGCATCGATGAGATCTTGATGTATGAGCGGGGCTCGAACTTTTAGACCAGTACTCTGAACTCAATGACTCGATTGCTTTGGTCCGTCAGGGATACGTCATAATTAAATTCCATTGTACGAATACTGAGAGCCAGTTCAAATTGGCCAGCTTGATTACACTAACTCTGCTGCTTCACCAGATCCGTTGCTCTGGTTCCATATTTTCCTCGATTTGCAGTTTTCTTGTCATGTGTCAGGCAAGATGCTTCTTGTTTTGCCCTCTTTTTGCCTTTGCCCTCTCACCCGCGAACTATAAGGATCTGATCTTGCTTCACCCCGATAATTTCCTCGAAAGTAAAAACTCAATGGCAATTTTGCTTCCCTGCCCGTGCCGGTTTAGATTGACAGTGTCTACATCAATCTATGACACCGTCACCTTTTGGCGCAATCCCCTACACTCACAAACCCCCGCAGGCAAGGCTTTTTCCCGACTGTTATGATCATAACTGACGGTATGCTACCCTAAATCTAGGAACAAACATTATACGTCCTATGAAAGTTCGCATTAGCTGCGTAGATATGTTGTGCACTGACTGGAAGAAGGCGCAGAAATGGCAAAAAAGCTGACAAGAAATTATAACGCGAGGTGGAAAATCGATGTGGTAACAAGGCGACATATCATCGTTTGTAATTACTCCAAATTAACTCCAACAGAAAAGCAAGAAAGAACATTTGAAGTCAGCAACATCTGAAACATTTAACCCATCCGTCTACAAAAGTAGCGGAATGTAGCGCAAGACCTTTGAAAGAACTCTGAAGAGCACACCAGTCGAATAAAATTCTCTGCAGGTACATGCGAGCATAAAAAACGCCCCCGCAAGTTTGATGAGGCTTCTGAGGGACGGGGCGTTGCAGCGACGTGAGCAGTGGGTTGGTGTGACCGTTGTGGGACCCAGCGGGAGAGGGCCGCTCACAGAACCCGGTTATAGACTGTCTATCAGAATCAACCATCCTACTGAAGTGATGGATAACAAGAATCGTTTCTGCGCTTCGAAGTGATCGGCAAGCGCCTTTTTACAAGACTAGGGCAACAGAGGTGAATAACGCTCATGTAAGCTATCCTTGAAGTCCGCAGCTGTGGAGGGAGTGAGTACCGTAAACGATGCAGTGGCTAAATAATAACGATTTCCCCATTTAGTGGACGGCATACCATCGGGCAAGATCATACGATTACAGTCAGAATAAAGGACTAACGGGGATATTTGCAGGTGCTGTGGGTTTGGCGAGAAAAGACAATGTTATAAACAGTGGGCATTGTCCGATGCAAACATGACACCGCGGCATGGGAAAAGAGAAACGGTTCCCATGAGTTTATATTGTTACTGGGAGAAAATGTCAAACAGAAGGTTAAACCTAATTTGTTAATCCGTATTCTTCTCGACGTGAGAGACCCAGGTCCTATATTATTCCGTGCCTTGATATTTTCCGAAACAGACTGATACCAACTGGCGGGACTCCGTCGGCTCTGTACACTTTTGTGAGAGCCATTCCAAAAATTGACCCCGAATACGGCTAACCAGAGTAATCCGGCGTAAATGCAACGTCCAATCACTCTTTTCCCCCGCCTCGATCATGCAACTGTCATATGTGCTGATTGTTACGGAGTCTCCACACCTTGAGATAGGGACACTTCAGGTTGAATCCAAAACTTTCGTAACTCCTGGCTAATGGCTGGTATATATTGCCTGATCATGGCACCACCACGATATTGGAAGCTGTCGTTTGCGTGTTCTTTAACTATCTCTTGAAAAACTCATACTTTGTCAAGACCCAAAACCATGGAGATGTCCTCTTTTCTCTATCCGCACTGCGCTGCATTACGACCGCCTTCGAAACATCACTGGTTTTCATTTCTTTACTGAGCAAGCCAAAAGAATTTTTGTATCGGAACCTTCGTGTCCGCAACTTAAATGACATTCCAAACAGTGGTTTCTTTTTCAACTTCCATGTATTTTATCTTGACGTGAGTGATTGTTTGCGCAGGCCCTCTGCTGTTAACCTATATGTTGAGAGCACTCTAACTTGACCGATCACGGCAAGCAACCACAGCCGCCCAAGTGGTTGGTTCATTCTGATGAACGCATATGCATCTCTCCCGGAAATGAAAATCTGTTGCCAACTTCGCTTGGAAGTTGATCCTCCAGAAATCACTAGTATCCACATCTTCATTATTTTAGGCTTCGCTGTTTCCAGGAATCTCGAACACATACATGGGAACTTGTTTAGCATTGTGTGGCAAAAGGTCATTTCGCCAAACATTTATGAGTGGAATAAAATTTTTGCAAAAATATTTCGTTCTGCTGTGCGGCCGCTCAAACCAAGAAGAATATAGTCTGCCTTAATTATGTAAAAATTTGTTTTGGCCGACCCCTCTTTTATATCGATCGTGCACACTCCACTTAAATCTTCCAGTGCTGAGGCCTAAGGGGCTCATTTATCGCACTAGGCTCTTATCTGTAAAACCTTTGCGAGCGGAATAAGAATATTTACTCCAAGCTGTTGCATTTTGCTGCTTATAAAATCGAACAAAGAACCGCAATAATCCACGTTTGTATTTTCGCCGCTCACAAATTCTCTTGATTCCCTAAGCGAGGATACCTCTGGCGGAAAAATTTCGATGGAATACTTTAATGTTGTCTCTGGGAGTACTGAGCTCCGTGCCTTAAGTCCCATTCTTAGACGGTGAATGATTTTGTCTGAGAATCATTGTCGAGCAAAACGATGTTTTACGCCAAAATGTTGCATTTTTTCGTATGTTCAAACTAAAGAGCGCTAAAATAAACCCTAAACCTGTTACAATTTGTTTCAATAATTTTCGTCGAGCATTTGATTTTGAAATTGCAGTACTGTGGGTCTAGCCATCTTTGGACGCCTACCAAAAATTTCTCTGAAACCATAGTTTAAACTTAGTAATCTTTACCATTACGTTATAGCATTTGACAAACGGTAAAAAATTTTATTACACGGCCGCGGTTTTGCTGAATGTAGTTTCAGCGTAATCGAGATTCACCATGAGGGCGAAATTTGGATACTAGTAGCTACCATTGACTTCGCATGAGGTCTACATGGAGACGGTGTAGAGTTTAGTGGAAGATCTGATTTCTTCACGTGTTTTCTTCCGTAATGGATTTAGATATAATCTACATGAACGATAATTATACCCCCAACGCCGGCAGAGAGACATAATATAGCGGTTATTCAATACTTTCAGAGAAAATGTGTTCTCTGGTTGCGGCAGGCGTCCCGCCAAACAAATTAAAGGAATTCGTAAGAACCAGTAAGTTTTTCGTTTTTTTACAATGATGGTCAGCATACTCTACATCAGGTGCGCAGCAAGGTTCTTTCTTCAACAGTATGCCAACATATAGATGATGCCGTTGAAGGAACCAGTGGGGATATGGGCAAAACAATAGACAAAACATTCGAAGGTCCAGCGCTTCTACGTTTTGGCATGAATTCAACGGAGTGGAACACTCCTGTGGACGCCAGTAAGACGCCCCGTCAGGAAATATTTGGGATATGAAGTATAGGGATGTAATCAGACGGGGCATGGCAGTCGTGGTACCGACATCGGAGAGTCTAACCTGGGTTTACGGACAGCCCATACATGTATAGTCGTTTGGGTTTATCATGTTAGTTGAGATTGTCCAGGAGATCACTAAAAATTAAGTCCAGTCTGAGGCAATGATATTCTTTGGTTCATCGAGGGCATATTGTGGTTCAATAATGTCATTCAAACGAGGCAAAAAGGCAACCGTGTTCATATTGGGAACCCAGAGGAGGAAAAGCGTCAAAACGTCTGCTAGAAAACACTATAAT